TTGTAGATACATTAAAATTTAATTTTAAGATATGTATTATTAAAAGCTCCCCAGAGGTTTATAACACCCACGATTGCGCTGCTTGCACAGGTAAAGATTCCTTTTGTTGTAAACTGAAACTTTTCGACGGCGAGGTGGCGACGAATGCTTTAGTATAATTGGAATTTTTAACTAGGGCAATAATATTCATGTTTTTGCATATTTCGCCGAGGCTTGTGGTTGCGCATGCGGCTGTAATCTTGGCGTGGCGATGCGAATTATTATGAAAACTTTTAATGAACACGAACACTGCTCGCACTCCACAAGCTCGCGTAAATTTTTTCTGCAAGAATTTAAAACTTAAATAAACATATGAATAATTACATCAAAAATAAAAATAAAACCAAACGCGTAAGGAAATGGAATTTATATCCACGTAGATTCAAAAAGTATTACGTTTCTTTATAATTCAAGTAAAGTAAAGTAAATGTAAACCCAATTACTATAAAAAAAATTGCACTAAACTGCGAAAAAAATATAACTTTACATATTAACTAAAATGATTGTTTTTCACTTTACTATTCCCAAAAAAAAAAAAAAAAACATGACATTTACCAGGATAGCTCGAATGAAACAAATGCGCATTGAAATGTGAAATTTAATCAAATGGTAAAGTTTAAATTTGTGTGCAAACACGACCCGAATAACATAAAAATATAAGCGTGTTCAATTCATGCGATTGAAGCAACAGCGACCGGAATGTGTATTTTAGTGGAAGGAAAAGGTGGTTGCACTAGGCACTAGGGCACACGCAGGCCTCTGCCCGCCAGCACAAGAGGACCGGGGTGTGCGTACCTACACTGGCTGCCGAAGAAGATATATCGCCGGCTTTCGGCGGATGAAGAGATAGATAGAAGCAAGGCACGTCCCTCGCACACATGCTCAGCGGGCTCGATTGCCTGGCAATGCTGCGCTGCCGGTTTGAATTGATTCAACGGGCGAACAACTCATCCGAAAACACCCACCAGAGGCACACACACACACACACACATCTGCCGCGTCGCGTGGATTGTGGATCCTAACGACATGAAATACGAGAAAAACCGCGTCGCCCGGTTTTACAGATTGGTTTTACCCGTTTTTACCTTTCTGCCTTTCTGGGCACCTACCTTTCTCGTGTTGTACGGGTTGAGAGTTGTGTGATTTTGTCGTTTTGCACTAATTTAACCTCCAGTTTAAAGCGTGAAACCTGTTTGTGTGTTGAAAGATGAATGATTCGCGATTTTCGTATTGGTCCACTGGACTAAGGTCGTTTCTGGTGACAATAATTCCCGGGTCGTAAAATGGTGCTTCCCTCATTCGGGCCGTAACATTTGTGCCGGCTATTACTTTACTTGATTCGTCTGCGCGCTTGTTACGACTCTTCTTCGTATTTCACGAATTCAGTTTGCGAGACGACGGAAAATTGATGTCCACGACGGACCATCAAAAACGCCAGGACGTGCAAGAGTGCTTATTATATTGTTTGCCGTAGGAATTCCTTCGGGGAGGGTGCGCAAGACCAGAATGAGAACAGTTTCATTCTTCATTCTGATTCGCGCTGAGCACCTGGCGAAAAGAATTATTTCACTTTCCACTTTTGCGTCCGACGCTGGGTTTCTACCTGTGTTGATGAGCGCCAAACACCCTTGGCACCGACACAAAGACGAATTTAGAAGAATAAAGCGCTGCGCAGTGCACAATCAGACAATGCAAGTTGAACTCACCTTTCAAATTCATCTGGCTGAGAATGCACATATTGCACCCGCATATACACAATGTCAAAAAATACTCTTGCGACCTTTAGTTAATAAATTGCCAGTGGTGATCTTTCCACACCACAGGACATGAGCGATTCGTCGTTTTAAATTGTTGTTGGTAGACGTGTGCAAGAAACTTGAAGCGAAAGCAAAGCGTGGTTTTGGGAGGTTTGGATTTAAAAGGTACGGAGAATACGGCGATTAAACGAGGCAAAACGACATAAACGTAGCCGGCGTACCCGGCGGAGTCGGTTATGCCGCAAATGTTTATGCGGTCCGCGTTGCCACTTTCGGGATGTGTTCGGACATGCCCGACATACTAAACTGCACGTCATGACGGTGCAGAGATTTGCAAACAAACACGAAGTGAAGTGAAGCAAAGCGAAGCGAAACAAGGCTAACATAACACAGGGGCCGTGTTGAATTTTGGGTGACAAATTACAATTAACTTTGATTTAATTATGTACAAAATTTAAATTGTTTTCTTAAAATTTGTTTAAATTAAAGATAAATGCACTTTAGCGCCATCTAACATTGAATTATATAATTAAAATTATGAATGAATTTTCATATCAACTTTCATCTCCTATTTTACACCCTTAAATTTATATTTTTGCGATAAAAAGTAGTCTATGTTATTTTCATTGGTCAGCACTTATACAAAAAATTTATCAAAAATTATTCAGGGGTTTTCGCTTTAAAGCGTAACAAACAAACTCCCAATTCGATTTATACTATTTCTTACGATTGTCTGACCAAAAAGAAGTGTTCCTACACTTTGAAACTTTCTTATCGATTTCCGAGATTCGATTATTCTCAGTTTATTTATTCTCGGCGTGAAACACGTCCGAATCGTGTGCAACATCACCGGAATCGATAACAACTCGCGTGCTATCATAAATTGAAAATGCATATTTAAGCAGATGTCAGAAGGAGTCCATCAGCGCGTCATTTTCGCCGCCAGCTTTGAGAAGTTGCGGTTTCCCGAGGCGTTCAACTCGAACGGATGCCTCCGACAGCTCCAACCGCACACATCGTGATTGAATCCACGACGGTTCGCAATCGTCGAAGCTTGATCGATTAGAGTTTCATGGCCTCAACCCGGCGGCGGATTAAGCGCCCCGACGCCGCGGTGACGCAATTCCGACGTTTTGTGTGAGAACATTCGTCATCAAAATTGCCCACTAACTCAACCCGTACGCGGGTGAAACGGAAGAAGAGGCATCGATTTGCGATCGCGCGTTTTCATCATTCTTCGATTGCATGCATTTACAATATTTAGCGAGTACGTCATAGAATTTCATTGTTGACGTGAGTGAAAAATGATACCTTTTGTTCTTGCACATAACAAATCCGATCTATCATAAACTGCGGCCACTGTGTGTTATCTTGCGCAGGTATTCCGACAGCATTTTCGCATTATAAAATATAAAATTTCATCCCTGAGGTGATTCAAAATTAAATTAATTTGGTCCCGGCGTCCCACGCTCCGATATAACGCATTGAATTATTTCATCTACTTAAATGTCACACCTTCGTAATATTTATTTTGTTCTTATTCTCTGGAATATTTGCGAATTGAGCAATCAGATAACAAGCACGCAAACATTTTCATTTCGCGTTCTAAAAAAATGAAGAGCTAGATTTGCGTTGGGTGAGCCCGGTTGCAATTAAGTTAATTACATTCGCCATCGTAAAAGTGTAACTTTTGTCAAGGAGAATCGTGGCAGAACGCAAGGACATTGAGAGGTCGTAGAAAATCTATTTTCACTCGCTTACCAACATTGTAATAACGATTTAATTATTTGCTTGTTAAACCAAACATGTCGCACGCGGCCATTGGAATATCGGAATATATACTAGTGTAGTCATAGCAATATGTGCGTACGCACGGAAATAATTCATAATATTCCGGTGCACGCGTGTAATTTCACATTTGAACCGCACTGGAATGGTTGTTGATGTGTGTGGTTTGTGGCAAACTATTATAGATTGTAAATCATGCGTTGTTTTGTCGCAAAGTGTCACGAAACACCAAACTAAATGAAATACGAACCAAAATATGCTCGAGATTAAAACGCCAAGCCAAGAGAGTCGCAGAGCCAGAATTGCAATATTGCATTGCGCAAAGCGGACAAAGTTGACAATTTGTAAATTGTTAAAGTTACGAGAGACCGAGTGCGGTGCAAGTTTATAAATTGCGATAAAAGAAGAGGAAAAGTTGCACATTTTCACGAAACAATTAGTTTTAAACTTGGATAAAAGCATTCGTGAAGAATAAAAGTCGCAAATTGTACGGAAAATAAAATACCAACACGGGTAGGTGTAAGGTGATGAAAAGTTTCGAGTTAAGCGCAAGACAATCGAATAAAAAGAAGGGGGAACTTTTAAAATTTCGTCTTTTAGCAGTTGACTTAAAACGGCAAAGTTGTGTTCTTAGCAGTGTTCTATAATTTAGGAGTTATAAGAGTTAAGACTTGAAAAATTAAATGATTTATAATTTAAACGGGGCTTGTTTTCGAAGAATATTAAGCAAGTAAATTCATACTAACGCCATCTAGGTTCTAAAAGCATTCTATTACGATGATTGCATTTTCATTTTAAGTTTCATTCCTTATTTTACACTTTTCATGCTTTATTTTGGCTACAAAACATAGCCTATGTTCTTCTTCAAGAATCAATCTAACTTTATAGCAAAATTAATCAAAAAGGGTGTCGTGGTTTTTGCGCGAAAGAGTAACAAACATTCATCTACCAAAAACAGCAGTTCCACTTAATTGGATATGGATGTATATTGCGTCAGTAATAACAAAAAAAAAACAATTTTTATCAATTTTGTCTGTTCCTGCTAATTCTTATTTGGCTCAATTGATTTCGACGAGTTTTTCACTAAGAAATAAGTTTGGCTGCTTTGATTTTTGAAAATATGATGAATTTAAGTTGGAATTTTTTGATGAGAGGGTACGAAGGACTGCTTGTTAATAATATTAGTAAAACTGAGGTAGAATAATGATGTTTTTGTTTGTGTATAATTTCCTATACAAGACAATCTTCAGGAACTTTTTAGTTTATGTGAATATTTTAAAACTTTTACCCTTCTTATACCATCTGACCTGAAACTGTGAAACGAGCTGGAAGTTGCTTTTTATGTCAATTTTTAAAGCAATTTAATGCAAATTCCACCGAGATTAAACCAAATTGTTGTTTTTTGTTTCGTCGCAGGTATCTCCCAATTGACCCAATGCGGGCAACTGGGCGAGCTGCCGGAACTGCCAGCGCCAGACGAAGAGCGCCTCCAGCGAGCCGCCGCGTTGCTCCAACAACGTCTCGTCCTACGCCAATGGCTCACCAAACACAACCTTCATCACCACTACCCCAAGTAAGTACCACCTACCATCCATCTACTAATTTAACAACCACACCAACTCTCCAACTAACTAACTAATCTCACAACTCCTTCAAACAAAAACTAGTTAAAAGTTAACTAAACAAATCCACAGTAAACAAACGGATTATCGTCTAATTTTAGATTACTAAGTATGGAAGTAGCGTCGGTGGAGGACGTCTACTGGTTCGAAGAATCCAAAGCGCGACAAATTTTCCAAAAAGACTTCTCCGCCTGGTCGCAAGCCCAGCAAGGCCTGCCCACATCGAAACAACGCCTCGAATCACTCAAAGCTGACCTCTGGTCGGAAGTAGTAAAGTCCAGCAATCACCAAGATGCATGGACGTGGGGCGGGATGCTGGTAGTCTCCGTCTCAATGGCCGGCTTGGTAACCCTCGCAGCTATAACTCAACCATCACTGGCACCCGAAGCCAAACACTCTCTACTACAATACGTCACCGGGAAATATCTCCTGCCCTCAAACTGCAAGGTGGAATTCAACTGGAGTGACCCGCATCCGGTTGGGCACACTGTTTGCTTCACTGTGCACTTTTATCAACGCAATGGCCAACCCTATCCGATCTGCGACACCGATCAACTTGTGGTGGATGTCTCCGAAGGTAATCGCAAGATGGCTATTATTACCGAATTAGGTTCACCGACAGATCCAAACAATGCCAATGAAGCAAGGGTTAAATTCACCGTGCGACATGCTGGCCATTATCGTATCACGGTGATGATTGGTAATCAACATGTGGCTGGATCACCCTTTACAAGAGGTTTCAATGCTGGACCTGCTGATGCACAAAGGACTATTGTGCTGCGGCATTGTAGTACAGTGGTGTGTACTGCCAACATTGCGCATTTATTGTTTATTGAACCGAGGGATGAGTATAACAATGTGTGCAGTTATAGTCCATCAGATGATCCAACAGAGGTGAGAATTAAATTTTTAGTGGAAAACACATTTTATTATGTTGTTTGTTTACAATAGGGATATGCGGTAACTTTGACGCAAATAGGAAATAATAAATCCCAAGACTGCGATGTAGATAGCATAGTGGAGGAGAATTATTCAATCACCTTAGATTACGACTGGCAGAATCATCGCATCACCGTGCAGTTGAAGTTTATCTACGAGGGTTGTTTTCACGCCACCATTAAATACAAAGGAACGGAATTGCATAATGGCGACTTTGATATCATCGTGTTAAACAGTAAGTTTTAGTACATATAGCGCCATCTACCGTAAACTAGGACAACTAAACGTTTAATTTTAAGGTTTTTGCTTGCTTTTTTTCGAATTGTTTAAAAATTTATTCTTTCAGGTATTGATTCAACTCTAGTGCATAAAAACGTCGCATCTAAAAACCATAACGTCTGCTACGAGGCAAAATTAATCGGCATGAATGAAGATAAACTTACAAAACCAAAGCGCGTTCTTTGTTACGTCTCCCCCAAGCAGCTAATCATCAAAGAACTCCTCTTAAAATTCATCCCTAAGCGTCTCTACACATTCCGCCTTTGCCCATCAACCAAATTCAACTTCCACGTGAGTGGCGATGTGAAATGCGAGAACATTTTCTCGATAGAAGACGGCTGCCAGCCGAAACTCGAACTGGTTTCGAAAGAGCGCAATGTTATCGCCGCCACTTTCGCCCAATCCCTGCTCAAGAACATGGGCTGGCAGTGAAACTTTCAAGGACAAGCAGGACTTTTTCTATCACGAGGTGCGCAAGTTCCATCAGAAACATCACCATGAGAAAATCAGCATGAAAGTCAACCGGGAAAAACTACTCGAAAGTAGTATTAAAGCAAACCAAGAACTTTTCCGTGTCAGACTGGTGTCGGAACTTTGAGATATCTTTCCATGGAGAGGAAGGTATCGATTGGGGTGGACTGAGGCGTGAATGGTTTGAGTTGATTTGCGTGCAGTTGTTTGATCCGAAACATGGATTGTTTCGGAGTTTTCACGAGGTCAGCAAGGTTGAATTACATCAAATCCGATGCGTGCATCGCATTGAAGTGCGACATTTTACGAATTCGCTGGAAAAGTTGTCCGGGAAGTGTTTGTATGAGGAGTGCACTTGGGGTTCCTTATCGACAATTAGTTCGGGCAGAGATTTACGAGATCGTTTTTGGCACAAGTTATTGGTCTACGAGTTCATTACAAGGTAAATATTATAAAATATAATTATTTCAAAGGAAATTAATGTAAATTTTGTAGTTTTTTGAACAAGACGATCCAGATCTTTACCTGACAAAAGTAAAATACATCCTGGACAATGACATAGACCTCATCGACACGGAATTATACTTTGTTGAAGAACAATATGATCCGTTAAGTGGACAACTGACGAAAACAATCGAATTAATTCCAAACGGCGCAAAAATTCGTGTGAGAAATTCATCAAAACATCAATATCTAGATGCTTTAGCACAATATAGATTAGCGACAAGTATAAAAGACGAATTGGAAGCTTTTCTTGAAGGTTTTAAACGAGTTAATACCCGATAATTTGTTGAGTATTTTCGACGAAACGAATTGGAAGTAAGTGTCCGTTTGAAAATGTTTCACGTAGTGGAGACTAGAATTGGAGATAATTAATAATATTTGTTCAAATGGGCGTTTCAGTTGTTACTCTGCGGCACCGGACAGTACTCGATCGCGGACTTCAAAGCGCATCATGTTATCAACGGCAATTCCGGTAGATTCCGCCGAATTATCGGCTGGTTCTGGGCGGCTGTTTCGAATTTTACTCAGGAGGAAATGGCGAGATTGTTGCAATTTACTACGGGATGCTCACAATTACCACCTGGAGGATTTAAGGAAGTGAATCCACGGTTTCAGATTACAGCTGCGCCTACGTTTGGGAATTTACCAACTGCACATACATGGTATTTAAATTTAACATGAAAATAATGAAGAAATATTTAATTACTTTTGATTTTAGTTTCAATCAACTCTGTTTACCGGACTACGACTCCTATGAACACTTTGAAAAGTCTCTCCTGCTCGCAATCAGCGAAGGAACTGAAGGTTTCGGAATGGTGTGAACGTGTAAGATTTCCTCGACTGAATTATTCAATTTTCCTACTACGTACACACACGAGATGCACAAAAACGTGCAGTACTAGTCGACGATTCATAGTCATGTAGAAAAAGAATGAAAGACAAGCGTTACCGCGTTTCCTTTAGTTGTTTGTTCAACATATCGAACAATATTTACGTAGTTTCTCTAGGGGACCACAAGAGACGTGAAGTAAAACTAAACAAAACATGAATTTCAAACGTAAGAGATACTATAGGATTCGAAATGAGATAAGAATTTCAATCGGTAATACGTATCGTAGTACGTACGATAACGTATTGTAAATTATAATCATACGACGGCTATAAGAGAACGCAAACATTTTATCGAGTTACACATTGAGCGCGTTGCTTTCGGTAGAACGATATTAAACCACTACGACAATACGATTATACAAGAAAATATTGAGAAAGCCTTTGTAATTATTACCTACTAGATTTTTTAGATAATCAAATTTACTATAAACTACTATAACTACATGAAAAGATTATTACAGCGTTAACGCGTTTACTGGCATTTGCTAAAGTTTGCTAACAATTGCATCGATTACATTTTAGTGCAAACGCTTTGCAACTCGATTCGCAGCCACTCCGCCATTTTTAAGCACAAAGAGGCCGCAAACACTTTTCATCTTGTACATATGTTATAGTGAGGAAAGTATTGTTCAAACACTTACATTTTGTCGACTCTGCTTTGGACTCCATCACAGCCATCACAATTTACATATTATTTAGTAATATGAATTGAAAGTTAGTTTAAACACGTTTAATTTGTAACAAATGTAAATTTTCACGACAAATATTAGCAACGTTAGCGAGTCAAAAGGGTGACCGTTGTATTCACGTCCGGGTAGTGGCGACGATAACGGCAGTTGCATGAACTACACACCAAACTTTTGTTTCCTAGTTTTTTTTACTAGAATAACACCGAACAAAAACAAAGATTCGAATATTTAGCGCGCAATAACAAAATTTCCGCCTAATTTGACACTTTTGGCCTTAGTATTCATTGTTACTTTCACACATGTATTAGTTATAGTATTATTTAGTTTAGTTTAGCTATGTTAACATAGTTTAATTGTTTAGGACTGTATTTCATTGTGATAACCGTGGAGAAATTCAGAAGTTGCAATTTTTCTGTGATTAGATTCACACTTTTGGCTATAACACTTCTTATTATATTATAATCTATGTTATTCCATGTGATATTTATATTTTAGTATATCATTTACTTAAATTAAGTCCATTACCAATTTCTAAGCTTGCTTGTGAACACTGACAGCATTTTCAACATCATATATTTGTTATAAAAATATTATACAATAGAAAAAGGCAAATAAATGAGTAAATATGAATTGTGTTATAGATATAAACCAATATCTTTGTAAAAATATTCCACCTACCTTAATATCACTTCATCCTCTTCTTGATTCTTCTTTATTCCAGTTGAAATCAAATTTAAATTATTTTAAAGCGATCCAAGTGCGATTGAACTATCAAGACAAGCAGATGTTCAGTTGGGAAACGTCGTGGCATTGCAGGGAACAAAACATATGCACATAAAGTAAACTTGTCAAATAAAAATTCGCCAGTTTTCAGCCACCATTGGCGTTCGTTTTGCGCTTTAAAATCGCCTTTAACGCGTTCTATTTCCGAACGCAATTCTTCATTTTCTTCTTGGTTGCGTTTCTTCAACATGCGATGAGTTGAAAGTTGTTTCTTTAAATCCACAAGTTTCAATTCAAGTTTTCATTTTTTGAACGTGCTGATGTAAGTGCTTCGTTTAGAGACTTTTGTTCTTGAAGTAAATTCTCATTTTGTCTGAAAATATTAAAAAAATAGTTAAAAATCGATTTAAAATAATTAAATACAAACCTTTTGGTTTCTGATAATTTTACTTCTAATCTTTTACATTCTTGCCAAAGAATCTAAATATTTTTCTTCAGATGTATGAATATCCTGTTCATACTGCTGACATTGTGCTTGATGATCCAATTGTAGAGATTCATAGTTAGTAATCTGTAAAAACATAACCAAACATTTCATAAGATTCAAACGTGCGCATGCGCAATATAAAAATATTTATAAACATCACGTTTTTACTACGAAAAAAGTTGTAACAATGACGGGAAGTTCTAAAGTAAACTTTACAACAGGAAATCGATACGATCATGTGTAATGCGACAAATATAGCACAATAACTCAGAAAAACACGCAATCGCTCGCTCAATTCAACTTGCACTCATTGTAGGCAAACAGAGTTATATTTTCACCCAGTCCAGCCGACGCTAGGCCCATTTCGCATGCGACGCCAGACCGCGGGTGTGACTCAGCCGCCGTGGCGGCGTCGACGTCGCGATGCTCAATTTCAGCCCACAACCCTATGTGTGACTCATACGCTATCGCAAAATACTACCCCGCGACTGAATGAAAACAACACAACGAATCATGCGGACCAGAATAGACGCTTTTCCGGGAATCGAGATGTTTTTCTCCGAAGTGAGATGTTCATTCATATAAACTTTCTTTTCGCTGCAATGCGATTATGTAGAGATGAATCATCGTGTTGTAACAAGATGATACATCCGCGCTGTGAAAATAATGTAATTTATTACTTTCATAGCCTGAAAAATTAATTTTTAGACTAGGTATTAATAAAATAGATTTTTGACTACTCATTCTTCAAGTGCTAGACAAAACATAACATAATAAAAATATTTAAAGAAATGACTAGTTTAAAATGTAATCTTAAACATAAAATCTTTAAATAATTCTGCAAATCATCCTTTGACAAATATTTCAAATATTACATCAACGAGTTTTTATGGTGTAATAAATTATTAAGGTTGAAAATATTAGCACATCTAATTTGTGCACATTTTTTTACATTGTATATTTATTATCTGCATTGTTTGTTTACGCGAATACCGCAGAAATAAATCATTTAACAAGAAAAACAAAAGATAATGCCGTGTAAAGTACCGAAAGCTATAAATACACTTTTGTTAACTTTAACAACACATTCAATGCAAGTGTACAAGTGCACATGTAATATATTGATATATTGTTTGCGATTAATTGGTAATTGTTCAACACGCGGATGTCAAAATTAGTACGCGGCGAGTGTGTGTACTAGAAATTTAAATGAAAGTGGCCGACGAGTGACTTTATGAGTCACGCAAAAGACACAACCGATACAAGTGTATATGACTTGTGTTTATGTCACGATTTCGTTTTCGATAGGCATCGAATTGCAATGTCAACAGACATGCGTACGTGGAAAAAAAGTAGCAGAACTTGTTTTGTCCTTCAACCGCATGTAAATCACATCTTGGTAAGTGTAGTAAACAGTCAGGTGTTATAAAGATAGAGGTGGAACTTAAATACAGTGAAAATGAAAGTCATTTTCTGTTTGTAAACTTTAAAAGTGAAAATTTTAGATAAGTAAGTTTTCATTACATATTAAGAGTGGAAAACAATGATTTCACTCGTGTATGAATAAGTTATATAGTAATGTTGTCTTTGATTTGCTAAAATAATATAAAAACAGTATTAATTGTAATTTTCTTACTTATAACGTTAAGATAAAAGTTAAACTAAAATAAATTGAAAATGAAAGTAATATTTGGTTGTAAAATTTAAAAAAATGGAAATTTGCTTTAAAAATGATATCATTACATATTTAGGTAGAAAACAATGATTTTGAACGTGTATGTAATATAAAATGCTAATGTTAAATATATATTATCAGCTTTGAATTCTGTTTTTTGCTAAAACTAAAAATAACAAAATTTTGAGATTTTACGGGAACCGGCATCTGTTTAATCTTTTGTAAGCTGGTTATAAACTCAATTTATACAAGTAAAAGTACTTGGTAAATATTTCCTGAAGTCTAAATATGAATTCTGCTTCGCGTTGTTGTATTCTCTTGTTGTTATGTTTAAATGATTTGGTAGTAACGTATCGTGCACCCCAATAAATTAGCTGAAAAATCGTGATTGAGTTATAGAAATTTACATTGCAATTTCTTGAGATGTTGGGGGCATAATTAAAACAATATTTCAAATGTTGCCATCGATGTCATGTCGACAGGAAGGAAGGTCATAATTGCAAGAAATGAAAAACTTTTTCGTCGTTACACAGAGGTAACTGTAACTCTATTCTTTATAACAAGGAAATTAATATATTGCTTTACAATGAGAGACCGACCGAAATTTCGGTTTCGGTTTCGGTTTCGACCAGTGTCGGCAAATTCGAGTTTCGGCTTCAGTTTCGGTTTCGGCAAATGGCCGGGTACCAAACCGCACCGAAACTCACTTTTCGTGAAGATTGTCGTGCGTCGCTCGGCTAACTTCGAGGCTAATGGCGGTCGTTGCTACATCTTGGTTCGCTCATATTAATACTATATCAAGTATCAAGTGACTAAACGAGGACTTTACTCGAAATGGTTATGTATCTAAAAACACGTGGAAAAACTGGCGATGTGTAGGTAAAGTAGAAAATATGTCTATGTAAATTGGTTTCGATTTCGGTTTCGGTTTCGGCCGAAACTGATTGCAGGGCCGAAATTTCGATTTCGGTTTCGGCTAAAATTAAGTTTCGGTCGGACTCTACTTTACAAGCAAATCAAATAAGTTGTACAAATATTGCCATTATACAGGGTGTATCGTTAAATCGAGTAACGTTTATTATAATGCGTTTTGTTACATAATCGCTATTTCGTATTTCTCAGCTCAATAAAAAAAACTAAATTTATGAGCACGTTGGGAATTGCCCAAAAAAACCAACCCAGCGTAAAACAACATAAATTGTTGCTGAGAGGTAAGTATTCCAACGCGCCCGAAGCGTAGAAAGTGTTTCATTCATAACCGACGCAAGTCCCAAATTGTACTACAAAACCCCGCGCAACTTTCGTGCGAGCGCGGAAAACGCCTTCATCAACGCTCAACTCGTTTTACTACGTCATTATAAACACCATTCACGCAAACTTTTAAAGCAAGCGCAATCTTTCTCAAAACAAGTCTGCTCGACGTTCGACATTTCAAGCATGCCAAGTTCCTAGTAGCGACTTGCATAAGTGAATATCGCTAATGCAAATAACGTATATCGAATCATAATAATCAAAAAAAATGTTGAAAACTATTTCATTACGCGCAACAAAGGAAAACGACGTAGTGAGCGGGCAATGTGCTGCAAAATAAATAAACGAATGTCGCACGAAACTAAATCGCGTTTCGTCTCGTAATTAACGTCATTTAGTTATTAAAAATATTGTTTAAATGTTATAAACAAGCGTCATTTTAACAATATGCGCCTAGTCTAACATAATATTTAGTAGGAAAACAACTAAAATATTCCCCAAAAAAATTAATTTTACTAGTCCCAAGTTAAAATTTACGAAGATATGATCTTGATAATCAGTCATCGGTAATATCAGTACATCCTCGTTAATTGTGTGGATATTAGCTGTTAGAATTCAAAGCGTGAAACCGGTCTGATGTGATAATAATTGTTTCTTATTAATTATACGCGCTCCGAAAACGCCGTCCACGGTGGATTTTCCAATCAAATAATAAATTTAAACAAAAAGTTTTAGTAGCAAGAACTGCGAATTGTTAACTGGATCGAGTTAAATTAAAATTTCAAAAGATTAATACTAATTATTTAATTTAAACATTTAATTTGTTAATTTATACGCTCACGAAATATTTTATTGGAAATTCCGAACTTTTGTCTTTCTATTTTTAGTAAAAATGAATCATAATTCATGTCTGCATTTAACTAAAGCGATATATTGTGTATTTTTGCATTCCTAGAAGCTAAATTTAAATAGTATAATAGTTTATTTTGGGAAAATCCTTAATTGTTAAGAACTTTTAAATGTAAAGTGTAACTCGTGTAATATGAGCAGTTAAAATATAAAAATAAACGTATTAATGTGGTTACAACATAACTGTTTTTACTACTTTAGATTAAAAAAACATAGTTGCAAATAATACGTTGATTATTTGCAGTTTATGTTAGTTAGTAAAAAAAATTAAAGAATAAATGATTTACCTCTTTCATAAGCCGTTGAACTTCTTCCTTTAACCGATTAACAATCTTCTTTTCGTTGTTTAATTCGTCATTAGTGCGTTTAATGTCAACTCGCAGTGTAAAATTCAAGTTGCGTTCGTTCATCATTCAATAATGTTCAGTCTATCATTGGATATCAGCATCAGTTTTCTTGTAGATCTTTTTACATTCTAGAAATAAAATTTAAAATGTTGGTATTAGATGAAATAGTTTTCGACTAAAAAATCAAGTTAAAATTACATTTAGTAAGTTTGAATTGGTTTGCTTAACTTCTTCCAACTCAGATAACAACTTCTTGTTTTCGTTATTTGTATTAATCCGTCGTTGAACCTCAAATTGACGCATTTTTTGAAGAACTTCAACTTGTAGATTTAATTGATTTGTCTATAAAATAATAATTTTTAAAATTAATCAAATTATTTAAATAATTAATAATTTAAATGCAAAAGGCAGTTTGTTTGTTTATTTTAACGCTTTTAAACAAAACTACTGAAGCATAAATTTTGGTATAAAGATATTTTTGACTAAAAGAAAAGGGAAATACGATACTTTTGTTTACAAAACTATAACTGGAAGAGTGTAAATCAAGGATCAAATTTGTTATGGAGATTAAATCATAGTTATAGTTATATAATTCGTATCTGGATATAGCTCTACTGTGCATTATTAGCATTTCTTAATTTTTAAATAAAATTAAGAATAACTTGATAAATTTGGCACATAATAAGTCTAATAAACAAAAAAGTTATTAAATCTGCGCAAACCAAGTCGCGGGCAAAAACCTACTAAATAATAAAACTATCACTAGTTATAATCATCGCTTCTAAATTATAATTCCATCATCACATCATTTGCCATTTATGAGCATAATAAACACTACACTATACTTATAGACTTCCCTCCAGAAGCCGCAATTTATTATCCACATTTTGCTTCGTTTTTAAGCATCTACACTTGCCTCGCTGTAAAACCTAAAACGACGATAAATCCTGTGCGAAAACCATGAAGCCGGCAACCGCAATTTACGAGCGCGGAAAATACAAAGAGCAAAAGCCGAAGCAAGGTAAGGCGAGTCAACGCAAGCAGCAGCAGAAAAAGACAAATAACGACGCGTAGTAAAGTAGTAAAGAGTAAAGAGCAATCGGTGAGTCAAGAGCACTAAATTAGCTCGCCGAGGTGAAGCCCCGAAGCCTTTAAACACCGACAGCTTGGAAAGCTCGAAAGCGCTCGAGCGCGCAAACTGAAAATATTCGCGCTCAAGTGTATCCGACTCAAATTGATGACACTCCGACACTCGAGGAGATAATGATCTACATCTAGTTTCCAAAAATACAAAAATTAAAAGTTTTACTTTAAATTGTTTTAAGTAAAGAGGAAAATAATTATTAATATAATATTAATAAAAACAAATGAAAATTTATCGAAAATGTTTTAAAACAAATTTTGAAGTTAAAACGTAAAACATTCATTTATGCCTTTTAAAACTGTTTGTAAATACAGTTGAAAGTCATCACGATAATGTTTTAATTTCAATGATAGGCTGAGCTCAGGTTTTGAAAGTGAAAAAACTTAAAACATATCAAGTTACATTTTTGCAAACAAATAAAACATGTTTAGTCATAAAAAAAAGTTTATCCATGTCAACTATGACAACTTTTCACTAAAAAGTAAGGTTAAACAAAAATGTCAAATTGAATACCCCTAGTTATATATAGATGGCGCTACTAATGCTAATCTAATATTAATGACGGTTTCTGTAAATTTTACCTCATGCACTATAGAATTATGTCAACTAACCTCTATTTGTAAACGATCGCGTGACTCAGCCGCCGTCGCCAGGTCGGACCGCCGCCGGCGCCACGCATTTAACACAAGCTGATGGCACACGCGACGCCCGGCGACCGCGCGTCGCCGTTCTTCGCTATTTGCCGCCCCCTTTGACGCCAGGTGTGCCGACCGCTCGCAATCCAACGACTTCCTTCGACTAAAACAATACAAAATAATTAAAATATTTTTTTGAACAATATTTTAATTTGTTACAAATTTCTTGTTTATTTACCAACCGCGACAACACAATATTCACACACAATCAAAAATAAAAATAATTCTTTTAAATTTGATTAACGATTTGTGTGTTATGCAAGTACTTATTACTTTTTATAATCAGCTGAATTGATTTCCGCCATCGATAGCGATCGTCGTTTGAGTGGTGAATCAATCCGGGGTGCATGGTGTCGAGAAGCGTTCTGGAGTTTTTGTTTGATGGCGGCGTTCGGGGCGACACCGCGCGTTGCAATTTGCGAGATGATGGAACCGGGAGGCGGCGTTTGTGAGCTTGCACTGGCGAGATGCCATCACCAGCGCCCAGGCGATTGTTTTTCGTCAGACTCATTATCGGATGCACTTTGTGTAAGCAATAAACTGTATAATTCGAGGTCGACGCGGTGGGTGATATTTGATGGAGGTGATAATGTGCGTGTGGATGGGTGGGGTGAATCAAGACCATGAACTGACAGCAATTAATTATTATAAACAAACTTTTTATCAATGGCAGAGTTGATTATATGTAGTAGGTTTTTGATATTTTGATTTTTTAAAATTATTTTATCATTATTTGCAACTTGCATCTTGTGAAACTGCAAATTGAGTTCGCGAAGATTTAATTTTTAAGTGATTTTTTACCTTTACATACACAATTATAATTATAATTCAAATTAGAAACAATAAGTCATCGAATTGCAAATTGAAAAATAAAATGGATAGAAATGAAGCTACAAGCTGTTCTTTTTAATTATTTTTTCCTTAAATTTTGACATGAATGCTGCTTTTGTTTTAACGTTACTTTTAACGACAACACCCGTATAATAGCAGAAATTTGTAGCAGTTATTTGTACTTAGTTGGTTTTGCCTTTTAAAATTATATATTAATTTCCTTAATATATAGTTACAGCTTCTTTGTGAAACGACAAGAAATGTTTCTACTTTCAGCAATTATGACTCTCAAAATCGTTTTGTCGACATGACATCGATGGTAACCTTGAAATATTGTTGTAATTATGATCCCAACATCCCTACAAATTGCAATGCAGATTTTATAACTTAAACATGATTTTTTCAGCTAATTTGAGGGGATGTAATGCTTGTTACTTCAAAATCATTAAAACAAAACAGGTGAATATACCATCGCGACTTGAATCCATACTTAGGCTTCAAGAAGTATTTTCCGGCATTTTTGTACAGTACTTGAGTATAAAACGGCTTTACAAAAATTTCTACATCGACATTTTGCCAAAATTCAATATTTGGTAAATATTTTGTACCACGATGTAAATATAACAAAATACGTAAATAAAAATTCATGAAATAAAGCATTGTTTTCTTGTTTTGATATATAATACACTATAATTTTAAATAGATATGATTAACTGATGTAATGTCAAGTTCACGGAATGCACTAAGTGAAAAGCTTACAGGAAACCGGTGATCCCCAAATTGTGATTTTTATAATTGTGATTTGCATGCGAAATGAACTCCCATGAATAAAATATGGTTTGCCCACTGATTTGCTTGAATTACGCGAATCGCATGAATCGGTAGGAGTGTCACGAACGTCACAATCTCAGAATACTTGCATTGTTATATGTAATGTTAATGTTAATATAAAAACAAATTAAAAATGATGCCAGAAGATTAACAAACCACAAAACATATTACATTAGCGCTATGCAAACATGTTTATATTAAAAACATTAAATTTAAATGTTTTAAAGTTAAAAATAAACTTATTATTTAATTAATAAAACGAATAAAGATATTTATTCAATGTTATAATCAATTATTTTTCGTAACTATTTTTAATTCTTTTTTTAATGAATTAAAATGTGAATAATAATAATATGCATTCCCAGAATTTTGGAAAACCCAAGATAAATATTCCCCGCTTATAATTTTTCAGAATTCTGCATTATCATTTGTTGATAACAAGCTATATCTGAAAAGTTATAGGTCAGACTGTTGCATTATATAATAATAATAATAATAAGCGTGTTGAGCAGTTACCGATAAGTCATACATATTAATATTTGTTTTATATCGCGGCTGCTGTACGAAATTCTGTGTGCTTTGGCTACTTTAGATTATAATTATGTATATCCACTCCAATATTAACTTGGATTAAAGTAGCGTCGCCGCATAGACCGTAGACTACGAGGTCTTCCAAGAATCGGCGGTGCGGTCATCATCGCGCTTAAAATAACGTTGGTAGCGCATCGCAATTCGAAACGACAATAAGACGAAACACGAGACAAACAGAAACAGTGGATAGTCGTAAGGTAAATCCAAGCGGAGCTAAAACAAAAAATCAACCACGACTGATCATAAAATTTCGATACTTTTTAAACGTAAAAAATACAGAAACCTGTATTTTACTAATTCAATTTAATGTTGTGGCTGCAAACATAACCTAACATAAGTTTTGTTGGGTTAATATAGAAAAAATATAAAAATTCCACATGTGCGCATGTGCAATAGATATTATTGTGCGTTGATGTCGGTTCCGTAATCGCTGGAATCACATCGCCGGCTGGGAGTGAAGGCTACACCGACGACGTTCGCGCATTCTCGGCGTCCGCATCGCCACACTCCGCTAGCGCGCCGCGAACAGCGGATTCAGGTGAATCAGTGTGCGTCCGACTCGCGATCGTGCGCTGCGCTTGATAAAACGCGTTTCTCACTGGCAACCGTCGACATTCTATCGTGGGACATCCTCAGTAACACATTAAACTTCTAGAAAACTCCGTCAAACAACTCAAAACTAATAAACTAATAAAACAAATGCAAATACTAAAACTAATATAAATAATAATCACAAAGTGAATAGTTTAAGTGTGATTTAATAAATATAATAAATTTAGTATAAGAAAAAAATGTGTTACAACGCTGCGAAAATATGTGTTTGCTCAGTGCGAGAATCTAATGCTGATTGATAACGCGCACATCGTTTTTCGATAAACCCGCGCGCCGACAAATTCCACTTTTCGCGTGGACGACGTTTTATTACGTTTCATTTCATCGCGCAACAAAGAGACTCGCCGCTGTGTGGACCTGTACAACTACACTACCGTAATAATTATATTGAACATTAAACATTAAACTATTCGAGTGTGAGTCGCGTGTTTGTTTCATCAAGCAAGCGGAAAAAATCACATCACAACAACAGCAGCAAGATTTTTTAAAGTGTAGAGCAAGAAAAGGTAACACAAACATAAATTTACACGTAAATAATTATTCTATTTAAATTGTTTAAGTGTTATACTAATATTTCCATCAATGTTTTGTGTATTAATCTTTATTTTTATGCATTTTTTTACTAATACCAAATCATATTTTCATTTTTTTGTTATTTACAGTTTATTATTCTAAGAATATTATAGCTAGACGCGTGATATTGTTGCTAATTATGAGTGATTATGATTTTTCAAACATAGAGAAATTAATTGACACCGAGTTGTTATTACCTGTGTCTCTTGTGTTGAAGGTTAACGCACGTCGAGTTTAATGCGCGACTAGCAAGAGAGAACCATCATGGACGAGGTTTCACTAGGTGTGTACTAGCACGAGATTGTTGTACAAATTTGTACAATTCAATTCAAAATATTGTTTGATTTGATTACATTTTGCACTTAGAATTCCTTCAAATCTTAAAATAGAATATTTAGACATTTATTTTTAATATTTCAGCTTTGTTTCATTATAATCAACATGTAGATAAGTAATAATTATATTTTTAGATTTGATTATGTTGATTATGATGAAATAGAGTTTATTTTTTGGAGAGTTTTTGTATTTGGGTTTAATTGATTTGTTTTGCATGGGTTTGATGCACTTATTTATTTGAGAACTCGAAACTCACAACTTACGTCCATTGTTTTGGGGTTATGTTGGTCAATTCGCAAGAATGTTTTTGTGAGAGTAAATATTTGTCATATTTTTATACTTGTAGTGTTGTTTTTGGTGTCTGTCTTCACTCTTGCATAAAACACAGTAGTTTTTGAGATTTGTTTGGTTTGTGGTTCATTTTTATTAATTTTTATTCATTTTTAACTTATTGTATAAGTAATCTATAATTACTCGTATAAACAAAGTCCGGTTAGTTACAGCATTTATAACTCAAGAACGGCTGCACAGATTTTTTGTTATTTATGATTTGTTGGATTCGCCTTTGCCCCAAATAGCATAATAATTATTAAAATACAAAGAATTATATCATATTGATGCATAGCATTTTTTCATTTGTTTAAAACTAAAATTGCAAATTTTATTAATTGAATCGACATACGAGACTAGGTCTTAAACCATTAATTACACTTATATTTAAAACAACGGGGACAAATTTCCAGACAACAACAAATTTATTATTAATTAATCAATATATTAAATACCAGAGTACAGTTGCACTCGTATTTTGCGTTTAATTGATTGTTTATGATAATTTGCCTGCGTCTACCTGTTTGTCTGTTGCATCATCGTCATCATCTGTGATAATTTTTTTTTATCTAATTTAATACACTCTGATATTGATAACATTTATAAATTTTATTTTATCTTGTTATATTTTGATGCTGGGAATTTTGGACAATTTTAAATTTAAACATTTTAAGTTTAAGTTTAAATAGGATTTTACGTTCAAACAAAAACAAAACAAATACTTAATATTAATGAATCACACATAAGTATTATTTAGGTAATAGTACGAGTATCTGCTCTATCTCATGTTGATAAAGTGATAAACACGGAAAAGTGAGAGTTCTTAGAAATTTGATTCTAATCCTCAATGAAATGGGTTAAACCAACTTGTGTTTATTATATACACATAAATTACCTTTTATATCTTTACTTTAAACAATTTGATGCAATAAGAAACATCTATTACTCATAACTGCAGCAATGATAAGAATTTATACGGGATGCAAATAAAAGCTTCATTATTTGCAAAATGAATTATACAACGATAAAATAATAAAGCTTCATTTATCACTACTATTTATTTCGTATAAAGATTTTATTAGATTCAAGACTATTAAAAGTCCCAATAAATAGATGGTTTTATAGCCAAATACAAAAATAAATCACTGTTTCCAGAAATTCTCAACACCTCGTTAATCATCATAAGAAAATACAGGAACTGTTATAGTTTCGCGGTTCTTTTGACAGATTATATTTATT